GGTTAGGTCTATCTCCCCAGGTTCCCTCTCAGGGGAGGATGTCTGTGTGATTCTGGTCTGTATTAAATTCTTCTGCCTTTTCATGGTGATAGAGGTAGTTGTGGGGAGTTGGCACATTGTCGGCTGGGAGAACGTCCCTTCTTGCTAGTTTGTGGCTTTCCTCTCCTAGGAGAACAGTGACCCCTAGTGGCTTGTGCTGCGCAGTTGCGTGCAGACGGGGACCCTGATTCTTGCCGGCACCGCTGTGGAAGGAGCTCTTCGCCATGGCTGCTGCGGGCCTTGCTGGCCTCAGGCTGTTGCTCCGCTATGGCGGGGCTGCGCCAGAGGGGGAATGGGTGGGAGGCTGTTTATCACCATCAGGGGCCTCTGAGCTGCCCTGCCACCATGGGGTTAGGGTGCCTGTAGTTCCCCGGGCTTCCCAGCTGCTGGGCTGTGTGTGCTGGGACGCTTCTGTCCAGCTGTGGGGTCCCTGTCCCTTTAAGACTTTCATAAAGCACTCGCTTTTCTTTTGTCCCAGGGGTGCCGCCTGTGGGGACGCTCTCGCAGGTTTTGCTGTTCCATTTCCCTAGTATCCAGCACCCCACGCACTGTGTGTCTGCACTCCCAGTGCGGATGACTAGGGCTGGGTGTTTAGCAGTCCCGGGCTCCCTCTCCCTCCCCGCTCCGACTCCTCTTCTCCCGCCAGGGAGCTGGGGTGAGAGGCGCCCTTGGGTCCTGCTGGGCCACAACTTGTATCTTACCCCCTTCATGAGGCGCTGGGTTGTCTCAGGTATAGATGTAGTCTGGCTGTTGTACTGTATTTTCTGGTCTCTCTTTTAGGAATAGTTGTATTTGTTGTATTTTCAAAAATATATATGATTTTGGGAGGAGATTTCCGCTGCTCTACTCATGCCACCATCTTGGCGCCTCCCCCCACAGCTTACTTTCTTTACCTTTACCTATATGTTGTTTTTTCTCCTTCCAGCCTTTATTAAGTAGTTTGTAACCTAGGCAATTAATTTATCATGCAGGCCCAGCTGTGAACAACATAGTAAAAGGCAGGAAGGATTACACCTTAAAGGTAAGATTGCATGTCACCCCGGAAGTTTAACAAGTAAGATTCTTGACTTAGTCTTTAGCAAACAGACAATACCTCTGCCCTCCTTGGGGGCTGGGCAGGCCACCTTTTGATATACTTCCAGACCAAGATGCCAGTATCCCAAAGAGAAATCAAGGCAGGAATTTCCTTATGTTAATTTTTCATATTCAGGGACCACTTAACAAGTCCACACCTCTAAGCTTTTTTTTCATGTTCCCAAATATCCTCAACTGCCTATAAAACCCCTAGACAATGCACCACCATGGGCTCTCTTGTCCCCTCCTGGCTCATGCCAGGAGCTCTGTCTGTCCTCTCACTGTATCTCTCAATAAAAGTCTCCCAGGCTCTCCTTCCTTGACTGTTTACTAAGTTCATTCTTCGACTCTGCAAACAAGAACCCCAGCATCACTGGGGTGTGTGGGATGTAACTCTGGGGGGAAAATATGTTCCCAGCCCAGGGCAAATTACTTTGAGGTTGAAGATGATGCCTGGGTTCTTGTTCACGAAGCCGAAGAATGAGCTTCACAAACACTCAGGGTAGGAGAACAAGGTACAGGCTTTTATTGAGAAATAAAGTGAGAGGACAGAGCTCCACCAGGAGGGGACAAGAGAGCCCAGGGTGGTGCGTTGTCTAGGGGATTTATAGACAGTTGAGGATTTGGGGGAATTGAGGGCTTAGGTTGTGAACTTGTACCACCTGCCCTGCCCTCAAGGTGGGCTGGGTTGTTGTCTGTTTGCTAGGGATGTTTACAGTGAATTCATGGATTAAGGCTGTTAACAGTGAAGTCACGGATTACAGTGAAGTACCCTTGCAGAACACTCAAACATTCCAGGCCAAGTTGTTCCTGGCCTTTTGACCTTTAACTCATCTCACTGAAGATGCCTATATTCCTAGTGTGGTATCTTCACCCTAGAGAATTAGTGTGACCTCGACTTTGCATAATGCTGAACACAAGAGTTTCGATAGGGAGTTTACATTGTTACATTGCTTTGACTGTAAATATCATGCCTTGCTTTTTCCAGAGCCCTCACCCTACTCTGTCTAAGCCCATTGTCCCTGTCTCAAAATCAGTCAAAGGGAGAAATAGAGGTAATGTTTATTCCTTACAAGCAGTTGTCCACTTCTGCTTGCCCGTGTCTCGCTACCAACTGCAAAAAGGGGAGCCCACCTCCCCTCTCTGTTCAGATATTCCCTCTCTCCCCCTTGTAATCACCTATTGATATTGAGATGGACCAAGGCCAAGTGAGAGATTCTGGAAATACTGCAATTTTACCACAGGGAAAAATAGTAAAAAGGGTTCTTAATAGCAGAAATATCAGAGATCTTTGCTTGGGAACATTACCTCTGTAGGAAAGGCTGTCTGTCATAAATTAGACCAGTTTATCTTGGTTTGGACATTTCCGAAGTCAGGAGAGTCTTGGGCCACTTTTGTTTTTTAGAGATTATCACTACAAAACAAACAATTACAGGATAACAATTGTGGCATATAATACAGATGTGTATTTCCAGAATTAACAACTTTAACAGAAAAGGGCAATAACATTATGCTATTTGTAAGATAGTTTTATAAAGATATCAAATATTAATTCAGAATGTACCACAGGCAGTGTAGTCTGGCAGTGAAACCTGAATGTGAAATTCAGAGTTGACTAACATGCAGCTCTTTCAATCCTGTTGGCTATCTCTGTGGCTGTGCCTGTAACTTCATTGGAGACAATATCAATAGTCTAGATTCCAGGCCTTCTGTAACTGTGAGACCTCACCCACGTGGGTTTCCAGGACTCCCTCTCCCCAGAGGGAGGCTGTGGTATTTTTCAGAGGCTCATATATGATATTTCAGAAACCCTAGTTTCATTAGAAATATATTCCAACCCATTCTAGGTGTAAATCACCTTGATAGCTGGCTACTCCATTTTTCTGTTGATTTTTACCAACTTTAATTTCAGAGAGTGACCACCCCCTCCAATCCTGACAGCGTGTCCTGTGGGGACAGCCCACCCTACTCATGATCATCCCTTCATGGAGTCAGGGCTAGAAGGTTGGATGGGGTGGTGAGGAATTGGGCCGTTACAATATCCCTTATCGGATAAGGAAGCTGCAGCTGTGTTCACACTGGCTCTGGGAGCCTGTGTGTTTGGCTCCTATCTTTATCCTTTTAACCATCTCAATGTTTTATGAAGAGGGACTCCACTAGGGCAGGCCCTTTAGAGAGAAAAATAAATAAAGGGAATGTTACTTGCTCGACCACTATGACTATATTTATGTAGCCTGCCACTGACATGAACACATGAAGCCCAAGAAGTCAAAGATCAGAGGAGATAAAAATTTTTTTTAAAAAAGCAATGCTTTTATTTAAAATTTTCCATCCATGAATAATAATCTGAGAGAATAAGCAGTCTCTGAAAAGAGGTTAGAATTTTCCAGAGACTCACAATCTTAGAGCATTATAAACTGAAGCTGTAGCAGCATACCTGGCACAAATCGTCATGCATTATTCCAACCCATATGTTCTGAGTTCCCAAAGGCTGACCAGCCCAGGGGCTAGCAATGAACATGGCAGTCCTCTCCCAGCCTTCCCAGACAAGCAGTTCCATAAGCAGTTTCAGTATGGACTGATAAATACAACAGGGAAACTGAGGGGCCATAGGAACAAAGGTCAGACATCTGGGTCTAGGTAAATTACACTAAAAATGTACTCAAGTGCTAAAGATGTTTCGTTTTTAAGTACACCTATTTTGAGGTAGACAGTTTTCCCAGACTCTTATCTGCTGAAGATGGGTAAAGGTCAAGTGTTTACAACATGAACCTTTAAAGATGCTTTAACAAACATTTCTTTTGGCAAAACTTGAAGACAGGACACAATTTCAAGTTACCAGAAAACTGGCCCTTTCCAGATGGACAGGAAACTAAACAATATTTCTGTGTTCTATTCTCCTAGCTTCAATGCAAAGAACCCCTCTGACTTCTCCAACACACCCGCACAGTCCTTATAGACACCTCTGCCAGATCTTTTAAGTAATTACATATAAAAGCTTTATTTACATTTCCTCTGTTTCCTCACTCCAAGGGCTTCCTTGCAAAGGGCGAAGGGTGCCATTCCCAGCATCTTCCCAAAGGAAATCTCATCGCTTTGGTCAGGAAGCGAGTCTATCATCCTGAGGGAAGAATGCTAGGCATTCAAGGCCTTCTGGGGTGGGCGTTGCATCAATCCTGCCTCCCAATTATTAATTCAGGAGCAGAAAGAGTCTGCCTAAAGCTCCAGGGGAGAGGAGGTAGACACGTCCTGGCCCAGGAATTCAAGCTTTGCCTCTCCGGCCGACGTCACCACAGAGGCCGTGCTGGCTCTCTATGTGTGCGCCCTCACCGGGGTTCAGTTTCATTCTGATGAGTAGGCCCGTGACCTGGGCACCAGGCAATAGTTTGGCCCATAGTTGTCGGCCCCATAAAGCTGCTGAGCACCCTGGAGAAGCAGAACTGGAGGGTGTGTGCAGGACCAGCACTAACACCACCTGGAAGTCGGCGCTGGTCCGTGCCCCCTTCACAAGGCCAGGGCGAGCACAGGGCGCTTCTTGGAGGGAGCCCCAGGTATCAGAGGTGATGCGCACCTGCACAGCTTCTAGAAACCACCAGGCGCACGGCTGCAGGAGCCCCGAAACCCAAGTCCTGCTGGTGCTAGGAGGCCAGAGCCTTGGCGGTTGGCTCGGGGGTGCTGGGTGTGCCATGCGATCCCTCTTGAGGATCTCTTCCCGCAGCATCTTCAAACCTGTGCACGGTCGTCAATGACAGCCCCCTCGTGTCTGCAAACACCACTTACTTCCTGGGCCTCTGTGGTTCCGGAGGTCGTGCCAGGCAGGAGCGGAAGGCCACCTGGGGTGACAGGCCCCCTGGGCCAGCCCGCGGGGGCTGCTGCAGGGCCGGGTCGGCGCTGAGGCACAGGTGCATGGGGCAGGACACAGAAGACGCGCTGGCAGCCCTGGAACCTGGGACCCAGAGAAGAGGCGTGCTGATGATCAGGCAGAGACCAGGCATTCTCAGCTGCCCCCAGCCCGCCCGGCCCCCTGGCTCATCACTGCATTAGTGCCCTGGGGGCCCTGCCCACAGGGTTCTGGTAAGACAGGGTAAAAAGAAGCCCAGGCAGGAAGTGGGGTGAATGTCACGTGAGAGCCGTTGGTCCCGAGGACAGGTGCACTTACCCGGGCAGCTCCGGCAGCAGGACCTGACAGAGCTGGCAGCTCCTTGCCCCAGAGGGGTGCCCACAGCAGGAATGATTCATTCGCTCCGGAGCCCGGGGGCCAGCAGCTCGGAGGCCCTGGCCCCAAGGAAATAAGAAGGGTAGGACAGGAAGCGTGACTCAGACACCTGCCCCGGAGCTGGGGTCACCCCGGGTCACCGCTGAGGACAGGAAGGACATGGAAACGCAAGCTTCCAGGGAAGGGAGGGTTCGCAGCTCGGGGCGGGAAACTGCTTCGGGTTCTCAGCGGACTTGGCCCCGCCTGTGACGGCTGCCTTGCTGATGGTCCTCAGACTCGTCCACGCTGCCCACTTTTTGGCCTCTTCCCTCCAACTCATGGTTTCTTCCCTGTCACGCTTCTGTTACTGCCTTCTCTGTTTCTGTTTCAGCTTACTGCTCCGTGCCCCTGTGTGTGTGACCCAGAGGGATGAGGGTCACTGTGTGTGGCAGTCAGTGACCAATACAGGGAGCTCCTTTGGGGCCTTGGGCACCGCTGGTCCTCTCAGCTGTGGCTGGAGTGGCGGGATCCTAGGATATAAAGTACATCCCTAAGGAACCCCACCTGGTTCTCTGCTTACCTCTGGATCCTGCTGGCTCACCTTTGCAGACCCAGTTTACTCTCTCCATCCCTGAAATCTGAATGCGCCCCAACTCCTCAGCCCTCTGCAGTTCTCACTTCCCACCTTTTCCTTAGACGGTCTTACCCAACATCGACAATTATTCAGTTACTCTTCTATGCTAACTCCCAGACCTCTAGCTTTAGTCTATGCCTTTCTCTTGCACTCCAGACTCCTACATAATGGTTTTATTTCTTGATCTGGGCAATGGTAACACAAGTGTGTTCCCTGTGTAATTTTCTGTATGTGTGTTTTACTTCAGTCAATTAAAACTTTATTTGAAGAAACATCAAGGAGTTAAAATTGTTAGTTATATAGTGGTTTGGAGATTTTATTCTCATAAGAATGGCAGAAATATATATATATATATATATAGAGAGAGAGAGAGAGAGAGAGAGAGAGAGAGAGAGAGACAATGCACATTTTTCACTTACTATATAATGGACATCTTTTCATATTAATATGTTACTGATGTAGCTCATTTTTCTCTATGATATATGGTATCTATGGGTCTACCATATTCCACTACAATTTAGATGGTTCTCAGTTTTGTTTTTGTTTTTTTCAGGAATAAAATAGTGCAACTGACACTCTTGTATACATTCATTTGTGTACATGTGGAGAATTTCTCCATGACAAATATTTAGAATGAAGACTATTAGTTTAAAGGATATGCACATGCAAAATTCTAACCAGTACTGCTAAACTGCCTCAGAAGGGCTGTATATACTTATAATTTCACCAATAACCTCAGTAGTTACCTTTTTTCCATGCCTTTACTCTTACTAAAAATGATTAAGTGTTAAAATATTTGCCAATATGGTAGGCAAAAATCAGTATCTCATGATTGTTTTGGTTATATTCTTTAATAAAGTGGTATATAGTATTTTTGTTTCATATATATATATATTGGTGTCTATTTCCTTCTCAGTGAAATACATATCCCAACCTTTTGACAGTTTTTTAAGTTAGCCATTTATGTATTTTTTTAATGGAGTGGTACTAAGTCTTGCATTAACAAATGATATTGACACAGTGGGCTATCTACCTGGGAGAAAATAAAGGTAGATCCCTACCTCACACCATAAATAACTGAAGAATTTAATTTTTAAAATCTGTAAGTTATAAGGAAGAATTATAGGAGAATATCTAATTTCAGGGCAGGAGAGATTCTGTCTGGCTAAAGGCACCATAAAAATCAACAAACGATAAACTGGGAAAATGTGTGAACATTTGACCCACCAAGGAGTTGTTACTTGATGTCAGTTTGATGTTCTTAAGTCAGTTTGATCCCTTGTATCTTCTTTAAAAATCAGCCATTTCCTCTCAACTTTAAATGTAATGATATGAGTAAAGCATGATGTTTTCTTAATTAGAAAAAAACTCCAAATTATCTCATCCTTTTATTATTCCTTATAGACTTTGCTTTTGTTTTCTATTTTTCTCATAGTCAGACTGGAGGTCACATTATTTAACTTGTTAGGTATACAGATTTTCTTATTCTTTAGTTCATTTTTTTTCTGTTTTCATTTTATGATTGTTCCCTTTTATTTTCTACTACCTGTTTCTACCTTCTTCAGTGGAATACTTTTTTCATTTATTTTTAATCTTTTGTATTTTTTAAGAAATGCATTTAAGATCATAAATTTTCCACAAAGTAAATCAGCACGTGGCACACATTCATATACAGCATTCTTATTACCCGTTATTTCTGAGTAGGTTCTAGCTTGCATTTTAGTTTTCCCTTTGGCAGAAGAATTATTTTTAAGAGAGTTATTGAAATTTCTAAGGGATTATATTGAGGGGAAGATATGTTTTTCATGTTTTGAGTTGTATTGTGGCTCATCCTTTTTTTCCCTTGTGTAACCAATACTCACGGACCCTACCAACATGTTAGGTGCTGAGGTATGGGGTTGTTAGGGGAGTGTTGTGTATTTTCCTAATATGTTGGGGGAGTGTTGTGTATTTTCCTTGGTTCTTGTCCCCACCGCAGCAAAGAACTGAAGGGCAGAGACATAGTAGTGAAGCAGAGTAAAAGTTTTATTTAAAATTATGCAGTTAGTGCATTGACCTCAGAGAGAGGAGCACCCCCTAAAAGGCTGAAGACAGAAAGTTTAAGGCTACACACTTAGAAAGTGCAGGCGACTTTAGAGAGACGTGCACGCCTAACCGTTTAATTTAGGGTCTGGAGTTTTACAGGCCGTTGAGGATTTTCAGGAAAGTGACAAAGGGCCAGGTGCGGACCTGCCCAATGGTCCCAGAATGTTCATCTTTGATAAGACATTAAGTTTCTTCTTTTAACTTACACAAGAAATTTTCTGCTTTGATTCCTTTCCAGAGTGTCAGTTTCTGTCTGGAAGCATATCAATCAAGACTATCTGTCCTGCCTCCAAGGTGGGCGGAGCCACGGTCCATTTGATTAAAAGGCTATCTTAACTCTAAGATAGAATTCTTCCTGGATAAGCTGGGCCTTTTAGCAGGTGCTAAAGTAAATCTTACAATGATATGTGCTGTTTGACACAGTGAAAACATAGGCTATGCTGAGATACTTTTTCTTTATCTGGGGAGTATTCAAACTTCTAGGCCAAGTTGCTCCTGGTCTTCGAGCTTCAATTGACTAACTGGTTAACTCTTTGAGTCCCTTCTAGTGGGCTTTACTGGCCTTATTCTGTTTTCATCACACTCATATCTATTTTCCTACCTAATAGGGTGAACAAAACTGGCAAAATGCTGACCACCTGGGGTTGAAGTTCAACCATTCAGAAATGTAGTCTTTGTTACCTCTATTTGGGGGCATTTATTGAGATTTCCTCCATTGGCTAGTATGTGAACAAGTCGTCTAAAAAAAAAAGTGTTTTCTCAGTTTGTTAAATAAAGTTCTCTCACTTGTCCTCAAGTTCTGAGAAAGGAGTGTGATTGTGTTTTTCTCAAATTCGTCCATTCTTTAACAGTTAATGGTTTATATTATTCTAACACTACCTTGCTTGGTGTGTGAAAGCTCAGTATTTTCTTGTTGATTTTATCTGTCGTCAATGGATAATAAGCCTCTTTATCCTACTTAATCATTTGCCTTGAAATCAATGTTGAGAATTCTATTGATACCTCTATTTTGCTTTGTTAATATAACTCTGTTAAGTTGTGTTTATTTCTCTATTATCCACTTTCCTATTATCCTTTTGCTGAAATGTAGTTGACATAGAATATTACATTGGTTTCAGGTGCACAACATATAGAATCGACAATTATATACATTACTAAATTCTCACCATGTTAAATGTAATTACCGTCTGTAAACATACAAAGATATTATAATTATTGACTATATTCTCTCTGCTGTACTTTCATCCCATAACTAATTTTATAATTAGATGTTTGAACCTTTTTGTCCCCTTTACCTATTTCACCCATTCCTCCCACTCCCCTTCTCTATGACAACCACCAGTCTGTTCTCTGTTTATGAGTCTGTTTCATTTGTTATTTGTTTGTTGTGTTTTTAGATTCAACATGCAAGTGAAATCATGTATTTGTCTTTGTCTGACCTTTTTCACTCAGCATAATACCTTGTAGGTCCATCTGTGTTGTTGCAAATGGCAAGATTTCATTCTTTTTTATGGCTGAGTAACATTCCATTGTGTGTATGTACCACACCTTCTTTATCTATTCATCTATTGATAGATACTTAGGTTGCTTCCATATCTTGGCTATTTTCAATAATGCTGGAAGAAACATAGGGGTGCACTATCACTCTGAATTTTGTTTTCTTTAGGTAAACTCCCAGAAGTGGAATTGCTGGATCATATGGTAGTTCTGTTTTTAGTTTTCTGAGGAATCTCCATACTGCTTTCACAGTGGCTACACCAATTTACATTCCCACCAACAGTGTATGACGATTCCCTTTTTTCCACATCCTCTCCAACACTTGTTATTTCTTATCTTGTTAATATTAGCTATTCTGTCTGGTGTGAGGTGATACCTCCTTGTAGTTTTCATTTGTATTTCCCTGATGATTCCACTTCTCTATTATTTTAAGTGTGAAGATTTTTTAGGGGAAGGGAAAGTAACTGGATCATGTTTTCCTCAACTTATTTTTCTCTTGTTCTCAGTACTTTTAATAAACTCTAGGTTATCAATTGATCTACATTTTATAAGAGTTTGTCTCTCTCTTTACATTGACCAGTGCCAAACATTTAGCTCAGTGTGATTCTGGCGTTGCTATCAAAGCCAATGTAGACCAAAATAGCAGTTTTTCAGGCCATTATTATGATCTCCTCTCATCAAGATAGTGTGCATTTAACCTGCACACCCAAATCTCCCAAATATGTTAAGCTCAGAAATACACATGTGCATGCAAACAAAAGTGTCAAAGATTCTAAAAACTTTTCACTCCCAAAGGGACCTTGAGTTGGAAGACCATGAATTCAAGTTAGGACTGGGAAGGATCTACAACAAGCTGAGAAACCAGGCAGCTGGGCAGGCACTGCCTCTGTAAGAGCCATTTCAAGAGCTTGGAGCTGGAACATCCTTCTTCTTGACAAGTAGAGTGGGGTCAGGAAAGGATCACCAGTTTTCTGAGTCAGAAGTGCTAGGTTCCAATCTTGCCCAAACCGCTTACTGCTGATTATGGAAAAGACATCATCCATTTGCAAATGGACAGCAATATCTGTGTATATCAATGTATTATGGAAAAAAATAATGAATTACAAATTTATGTATACAGGAGTATTTTAGAATTCTCAAAAAACTTTTCGTACTTCATCTCACTTTTTCCTTACAACAGCCCTGTTATGTCGGTATTATGACTATGCCTATCTTACAGAAAGGGAAGTAATTTCTCCAAGGTTCCTGAGTTAACAAAAATGCAGATTCAGGACTTGATCCTAGTTTTCTGGACTCCAAATCCCAGGATCATTTCACTGTACCATGTTCCTTGTCAAAACATTTTGAAAAACAGAAATCGCCTTGCAAATAAAAGGAATTCGTGTTAATTTTCTGAAAGAGACATGTGTGGACTGGGCACACATCTGTAGGACATGGCTGGGCTGCAAACAAATTGGAAACTGGAAGTAAACTTGAGAGATTTTCTGGTCCTGTCCTTTGCAGGTGTTAGGCAAGTGTATAAATGCTTTTGAGACAGAAAATATCTAGTATGTTTTTGGCATCTTCCAGGCCACAGCTTGTACAATCCTCTTTGGTAAACCATTCCAGTATTTCGTTATCTGGGTGACAAAAAGCCTTTTCTTCATGACACCATACAGGTCTCTTTCCTCGTCATAAACGTTCTAGGTTTGCCATTATTTGTCACTTGCCACTTTTCTGATTCTTTTGTTCTGTTGTCGAGTGTGTCGACTTTTGCATTAGACAAGCAGCTTGATTTTCCCAAGACTCCCAGGTTCTTTTTCATTGTTTTCCTCCTATTAGTCATAATAACAGAACATTCTGCTTTTTAAACATTCATTTAAAAAAAACCCAAAATTTTCTTAATTCCTTCCTTCCTCCTTCTAATTAAGTAATTTCCTAGCCATTTCCTCCTGAATTTTTTCATTCATTTCATTTCATTCCTCCTGAATTTTCCTGAATTAATTCCTCCTGAATTAGAAAACTACTCTGTCCCTTAAAAAACCAGGACCAAATTGGGTCATCAGATCTAGTTTATGTCTCTAATTACTACATGCAGATTGATGGTTTCATCACTGATCATCATGTCCAGACCCCCAGATGTTCTGGTTAATTCACTAAAATTAAGCAGTTTCATGTTAAAGGTCATTGGAGTCTAAGGCTCTTTGTTGGCTGTGAATCACAAGCAGTAAGGAAGGTTGCTTCCCACTGAATATAGGACAGCTACAGTTTCTCAGGCTCCTGGGGATGGACATTCCTTGGACCTTCGAGGTAGTTGCTGTCTTAGTCTGTTTGAGCTGCTATAACAAAAATTCCACAGACTGGAGGGGGCTTAAACAACAGACACTTATTTCTCATAGTTCTAGAGGCTGAAAGTCTTGAAATCATCTCCACCGGGTTAATTGGAACTACAGCCATAGGCTGAGGACACCCAAAAGAATAATAGTAACAAAATGTGTCAAGTTAATTTTTTCAGACTCAAAAGGAATTCAGGGAGCTGTAAGAAGTTGGAAGCATGCCTAGAACCAGCTTAAATTGGACTGGAGACCTGGGGCAGAAGCAGTTCCAGATGGCTTCCTCATGGCTCTTCTTTATTACCATACTAACATTTCCACTTCTGGGTGGGGTTTGGCCACCATTTTTAGAACATACAATGGATGTAGTAGCATGTTAGCATGCTATACAGGCCCAGCAGAAAAGTCCTGCCTCAACTCTTTTCTGTTACTTTCACCAACCCCCAGCTAAATATGCATAAGTCCCTGCTAAGTATGACATAGACCTTCTGTATAAATTCTGTATTCCCTCTGAGTTTGGGGAGATGGATTGGAGCTAGCCTCCCATCTCCTCAGTTAGCCACCTTGCAATAAGAGCTTTCTCCTTTTACAAGAGCTGGTGTGCTGAGTTTGGCTTACAGTACACATTGGGAAGAAGACCCCTGTCCATTTACTGTCTGAGATCAGGGTGCCAGTGTGGATGAGGTGAGGGCTCTCTGCCTGGCTTGAAGAGGGCCACCTTCTTACTGTGTCCTCACATGATGGAGAGAGAGATTGCTTTGGTCTCTTTTTCTTGACATATGGACACCAATCCCATCATTGAGGCTTCACCCTCATGACCTCATCTATATGCAATTGTCTCCGACAGACTCCAACCCTGAATACCATCATCTTGAGGGTTGGAGCTTCAACATATGAATGGTGGGTGGGTGGGGAAGATAAGCATTTAGTCCATAACAATTGGCTAGTCCACTATTTGATCTTCTTGGTAGCCCAGAGGCTTGCCTCACATTCAGAGCACATTTCTTTTGGTATAAGTTATTTTATTCTTGTTTGGTCCTTTTTAAAAATGAACTACTATTCAGCATTACTCTGAAAATTCTTCATTTTCAAAAATGTACTTGTATTTTTTCTGTTTTCCCTACTTAAGCTAAAGAATTCCTTTCCTCATTAGGCCTGTTTCCTGTACATTTTATCAATTGCTTACTTAACTTTAACATCGAAAAGGAAACATATATACCAACATTTCCTTGGTGGGTGTTACAGGATGGTGCGATTTTAGGTGATTTTTATTTTATTCTCTTAGCTTTTTCTTCCCAAACTATTTACAATGATAACACACACACACACACACACACACACACACACACACACACACACATTTAATTAAAGTGTTGATGTATAATCTTATGTTGGTCAAATGTACAACACAGTGGTTCAACAGTTATCCACATTTTCAAATCCTCACCACCTCTAGTGAGGTTATTATCTATCAACATAGAAAGATGTTACAGAATCATTGACTATATTCTCCATGCTGCACTACCATCCCCATGACCAACTTACATTATGATTGAGAATTTTTATGCCCCTTTATCCCCTTCACCCACCCCTTGTACCCACCCTTGCCACCTGTCCCAGCCCCTTCCCCTTGGTAACCACCAGTCACTTCTCAGTGTCTATGAGTCTACTGCTATTTTGTTCCTTCTGTTTTGCTTTGCTGTTATATTCCACAAATAAGTGAAATCATATGGTATTTGTCTGTCTCCACCTGGCTTACTTCACTGAACATAATACCCTCTAGATCCATTCATGTTGCAAAAGGCAAGATTTATTTTCTTTTTATGGCTGAAAAATATTCCACTGTGTATATGCACCACATCTTCATCTATACAATGACATATATTTTAGTAATTTAAATCATTTAAGTTAAAACTAAAAGCTATCATAACAAAAACAATATGGTTTTAGAACTAGAGCAAATAGACTAATGGGAAAAG